TTTTAGGCTCGTTTGCGAGCTTCTCAAGAATCAGTCGGTATTGGGATTGGCTAAGAATTTTCCAAATTTTTTTCCTAATCTTTTCTATAAATCATAGACAAATTTGTCGTTTCTTGCCCTAATTTTCGACTTAGGACTTTTTTAAGGAGCGCGAAATTTTGAATTTTGGCAATTTTAGGATCAAATTTGCGAGCTTCTAAAAAATCAGTCGGTATTGGGATTGTGTAACAATTATCCATATTTTTATCGCTAATCTTTTCTATAATTCCCGTGCAAATTTCATGTCGATAGTTGCTCTAATTTTCGAATTAGGACTTTTTTTTGTTGACCTATATCTTTAATGTTGCCGTTTTTAGGCCCAAGTTTGCAAGGCTCTCTAAAATTAGTAGGAGGTGCGATTGTTATATAATTTTGCACATTTGTTCCTCAATGTTTTCTATCAATCATTTATAAATCTCAAGTCGCTCTTTACCTGAAAATGCTTTGGAAATGCTATCAACCGAAACGTTGGGATAAATATATCTTTGTTTTGTATTATTGCATTGCTCTCAGTAGAACGACGACGCAAAAGAACAAAGTATAGTAGAAATTGAAAAATGCGACCAATAGTGCAATAAATGCAACGAAGATGTTTTCATCGCCAGTCTGAAAATGTTTTGGAAACACTGCCAGCCGAAACGTTGTGATAAAATGTCTTCCTTTGCCTAGTTATTATTTAACGCAATTAAGAAGAGACGATTAAATTAAATCAATCAATGAGTAGGTACTTTTTATTGGAAACTCCATTGTGATTTTCCAAATTTTTGAGCTTTTTTCTGGAAATAATGCGATAAAACTACCAAAAAAATTACCTCAATTTTACTCAAAACCCCATCTTTGGTTCTGTTGGACTGTCGCTTAAAACTTTGTCGTTGTACCCACTTGAGCATTGTCACACATGATTGGACGCTTTTGGTGTTACACAGGAATGTTTTACAATTTTTCGTGTATTTGCCTCAATACTTTCTATAAATCTTGTCTAAATCTAAAGTCGCTGCTTGCTCGAATTTTCGAGTTAGGATTTTGTTTGACGAGCGCGAAATTTTGTATTTTGGAGTTTTTATTTAGGCTTAGGCCAAAAAGAATCTAGTTGAATCGAGTTGAATTTTGAATCTGATGATGGCGCTGTTGTCTCGCCGAAACGTTATATGAAATAAACGATATGAACGTTTTGTTTGAAACCCAGGAAACAAAAAAATGTAATAACAATCAGTCATGAATAGTTGAGGAAAGTTGAAGACTTCCCATTTGTTAGGTACATCCATGAGAATTTCACCAACGCCCCCTCGATGGACTTGGGACCGGAAATTTTGGAAATGCTCGTCCAACTGTTACTGGTAAGGGAAAAGCAACTGATTGAGAAGGCGAGTGAAGAGTTTTAACCGCAAAATAGGCCCAAGCCCGCGAATGCCTGCTGGAAAAGCTGCAACTGCAGTCCGAAGAGAATCGGACTATAGACATCTGCTTGGATCTGGCCCAAGAGGCGGCCGAATTGGCGGAATGTTACGCCCATGTGCACGAACTAATTTCGCATGAATCTGTCCATGATTACGTCCCATACAGGTACGCAAGTCGGTTTTCTGTGGGAAAATGTCCAATTTTTAAGCAACTTTTCCGACTTCCCCAGCTGGATATCTCTAACGCAGGTGAAACGGGAGTACTATACTGGGCTGGCGCATTGCCATGTTTCCTCGGGAGTCCTGCACAAGGACGCAGAAAAAATGTCCATTGCAACGAAGGAAACGCTTCAGTTCCTGCACGTGCAAAGCGAGAGCACTCCGATAGACATCCGAAACCCCAAAGACGAAGACGAAAGAAGACTGTTAGGTAAACCCGCCATCAAATAAGCATGGAAGCGATCAAACAATTTGCGCGGATTCTAGGGCGAGCGCATTTAAGGGAAGCTTTAGTGCTGCAGGAAGAGTGCCAGCGGCTCCATAGAATGTGCAGGGAATTGAAGGGCAAGCATGCGCTAGCAGCCGTTTTGAGGAATGCTCACAAAAAAGCATTACAAGCCTACACCTCAACGGACACAGAGGACGACTTTAGCGACATGCTGGACCCGCCTACAATACAACGTAAGGCAACTGCAATAAACAATTTTACAACACTTGTCATACATTTTTTACAAACTTCTTTTTGGTATTTCGTCTCAAAAATTTTTATCTTTAAAAAAGACAAGTTTCCTCACGTCTTTTATTACAGATTGATAAATAGTGCTCCTATTTCGCAATAAGAACGAATTATTTATCAAAAAGTAATCAAGAACTATCAC